CCAAAAGTGTCTTTGCCTCCGGGGTGCTGAGAACCCTTGCTACATCACTGGAAGGAAAGCAATTCGCACGAGCAATAAAGAGGTGCATGGACTGTTTTCATCAGGTACAATTACCTGGAATAGGTTTCTACAACTAAAGGCAGCAGATGCAAGCCAGATATGAGGGCAGGCACACACCTGGTGATGAAATTGTTTTTGACATGTGCAAAACAACCTGGAAGATATATACATTGACACCGCCAAAGCAATCTTGCAGAAAACCCATCTTAATAGCGAGGACTGAGTAGAAGCAGATAGTCTTTCCCACACATTGCAGATTTTGGGTAATTAATACCTGTGAAGCAACACCACCCTATCGTTGGTTACCACCATTTCCATAATGCAGATATATAAATATACTGAATAAGATGGTTGTGAAACCTAAAAAGAAAGAAGAAAAATACACAACTCTCTATCAGAACCACTGCAAAGAGTGAAGGATTGTGACTGGAGAGAGATGAAATGTCTCTCTGGTATAAGTAATGGGACACTAATGTCTTGGGGATGTTCCACATCTCTACTTGCAATGTCTCAATGACTAGCAGCAAAAGAAGCCATGAGATGACAAACATGATGGGAGGAGGCATGAGAAATAAGAAAAGGGTTATCACCTGGAAAAGAAGAAACTAGCCAGATGGTGTGTATAACTCTAATGGATAAATTGGAAAGTTTGTTTGTAATTAAGCACAAAGCTACACAATGGGCTATCTGTGCTCTGCCCACCATGGGTATGGAAACCCGGATTCTAGCGTTGTAAGTCCGCAGACATACCGCTGTGCCACTGGGGGGCAAATTGGAAGGAGATAAGATATTGAAGGAAGACCAATCTGACGGCACATGCCCAAAAATAGGACAGTACAGATAAAATAATAATGAATAAATCTTACAGAAGAGTGGAGATAGTGTAGGTTATAACAACCATACTGGAAAGAAGAGGAATGGAGGACAAGTGGAAAAAAAACATCCAGTCACTCTCCCAAACCAACCAAGAAGGTGAAGCACACCAGACACAGAGCATTCTCAGCCAGAACTGTAGAGTTTGGGACTAGATATCAAATAACTGAAAGTGAGAAGTGGGGGGGAGTGGAAAAGCAGTGATGATAAGACATTCATAGTGGGAGAAAATCTGCTGAAACACCAGAGCATTGTACAGTTTGCATACTGATACCCTTTACAGCCTCCACAGTGCACATCTCCAGTTTTCTTAGTATCCTTGTATAATGTATCAGGTATCTATTCACCTTTACCACAACTGTCACTAATGTGTGTTGTTATAGCAAAGCCACATCACGCTATCTGCTGTGTCCACTGAGGGGAATCGAATCCCAGGTTTTAGCATTGTAAATCCAAAAACTTACCGATGTCCCACCAGGGGACAACTGTCACTAAGTCAGCAATTTAGGGTAAAATGAATATCTGATAACTCTGCCATCAATTACATACTACCACTTTGAAAGGTCATGGCATACACACTTTGACCCCATCCATGCACTTAGGGTTAGAATACACAATGACGATCCATATTACAGCTACCAGGCTCAAACTCTTTTAATACTGGGAAAATATAACTATGTTTATAAGCCAGTAGAAAGCACCAATGGGCTATACGATGCAATACCTATTATATGTGATGCACATGAAAGTGGCATCACACCTGTGTAATGCTGTGTGATAATCCATTGATTATCCAATTAATCACAAAATTAATATCCAATCAGATTAAATATTTGTTCTGTCCTTAGATAACATTTCCTTGCAAACATATTGTCAGATTTTCCACTCTTCACAAAATTCAAAGTGTTATATCTTTGTAAACACTATCCAAAACTAAAAACAGACCTTTCAAGTAATACTGATGTTTAAAGAACAGTTAGTTTTTATAAGATTTATATTGTTCCCTTGTACTGTGATTTTCTTTAGTAAATATAAATAAACTTTAACTACACATACCCACTCTCTAATAATATCCCACAATATGCTTGCTGGAGCATCAGTCTTGATAGATGTTCTGTTTGTATGGGAAAGTGAAACCTTGTAACCAGCATTTAGAATGGCTGACCTAAACAACAGTATGATACAGTTCACGACAAATTTAATTCACACTACTTTATTTTCTCAAACCTTATTCAAAAGTTCTTAAAACACTTTTTATTCACCAATATCGATTAACTTAGTACTAGCTAAGCCATATAAAGTTAAAGTACATGTATGTTCAAGTTAATATCAACATTCTTAAGATGTTAACTTTACATTTCTGTAATATTAAACTTATATCACAAAATGGTAATATTACATCTCAATAGAATATCACATGTTAATACTACATTTAGTAAAAAGTTACATTGTTCCAAAATTTATAACAATAATAATATTGTGTTTACATAAGATCATAATAAATCATCATCATCATATGTTAATGTCACATCACTGTATATTTAAGTAATTATGTCTGTGTAAAGCATGGGTTTCTGATGCATAGCTCATAGGCCACATGTTGCCCACAAAGTTGTTTTTGTTGCAAGTTATTTAAGAGAAAACAGTAACTCATTACTAAATACATGAATAAAATCATCATACCTGCCAAACTACCATCCATGATGTTACATGCTTGAATAGCTTTGCACATGTACCATAAGAACTGCTTACATTCTAGTTAACAACGAGTCTTACAACTTGTTTTAAGTTTAGAATGATGGTTCATGATGCATGATAGGTTAACAACTCTTTGTGTAGAGTTACATTACACTATCATAACATATTCTTGTGTTATCTGAGTATTAAAGATAAAGAATGCACCAAATACAGCATAACTGAAATTCATCATATTCGAGCTTTGAAAATGCAAAAACCACCATTATAATATCTTAGGCATCTCATATTTACAGTGCATGAAAATAATTACTATCATATGTTAATTGACATTTACCTAGTTTTCAGCTAAATTCTGTGCTTTGTAATGAAGTTTGTTACATTAATGAATCTTTTCATTCAGTTTGTAAATACTGTATTACAACTTTTAAATATAAAAACATACTTTTAATTTGTACATGAAATAAATTAACTTCACATAATTTTACCTCAGTCACTAGGAACCAGTAACAGATTTCCTTGAAAGTGCAAAGTAAAAAGTCAACTACCTTTTCAGTGAGTACAATTACTAAAAGCTGAGCCTTAATATAAAAACAATCGTAATTGTGTAACTTAACAAATAATACTTCAACTATGTTATAACATGTGTCATTTAAATGTTAACCCTTTCAGTAACAGTCCTGTCTACTGGATTATGTTTTACAATATATTAATGTTAAAGAAATTGTAATATAAAAAATACTCAACATATATAAATACATCATTCTAGTTATTTTTTATATTTTGTGACAAAAATCTGAATATAAAATGCAGTTTTAATGTCAATAAAAATATTACTATACTTCTAACTTAATATCATTCTGGATCTCTCAGAGATCTGACTGGTATATGGAACTTGTTTCATCAAATAAAAACAATCTTTGATTTTAGAAATGTATATAATCATTATTATAGATAATGTTGTGACTACGTGCCTTCTTCAGTTAAGTAAAATTTCACAAAACATATTTCCAGAAGGAAGGGTAATTTCAGTTTATGAAACATTAACAAATATATTCCTAAACCCTTTCTGAATAAATATCCCTTGATTTTTTTTTCTTCTCACAGTGGAAACACTTAACCAAGTGCCTTCTTCAGTTAAGTAAAATTTCACAAAACATATTTCCAGAAGGAAGGGTAATTTCAGTTTATGAAACATTAACAAATATATTCCTAAACCCTTTCTGAATAAATATCCCTTGATTTTTTTTTCTTCTCACAGTGGAAACACTTAACCAAATTATCTGTGACCTAAGATCTGCTAATAATATTCTTGGTCAAAATAAATTTATATCTAATAAATATAGTTTGTTTTCAACTAATTATAAGTTATTTTATTTCTGTGCATTGTTTGAATACAATAAACTTAAGAATCATATTCAACGAATGAAAGTTTGAGAAACATTTAAATCATTAGAATATTTTTCTGTCACAATTCTTCTCTCTAAACCTAATAAAGCTTACCTGGTGTCTTTCCACAGAAGAAAACTGATATAACTTTAAAATAAATATAATTTAACATGAAAACATTTTCAGGAACAAAAACAAAAGCCTAAAGAAACTATTAAAAATTCTGAAACCTGTGGTATTCTCTCAAGTCTTCTAAACTTCCTAATAAGTTTCACTTTTGTTCTCTACAAGAGCTATATCTAATCAATTTCTTACAAAACTTTAACTTATTTCTCACACCACTTTATATTGAGGTAAATAGTTTATAATCTGTTCTATCTAATGGTATTTAAACTTTGCCAGTATTATTTTCAAAGTTGTTCCTCATTAGTAATTGTTACCATCTTTTTATGATTTCACAACATGTGAACAGAAGTCTGTAATAATAAATATTCATACAGAGAAGGAAAATAACAAGAGAAACAAGATTTTGTTAACTGTATTCTTAAGGATTGATAGTTTTTTATGGTTCAACAGCATCTCTCATGTAAATCATCATGCAACAACCTTCAACCACACCCTTCTGATGCATGTGACTCCCTCTATTCAATTCTACCATACTTTCTAGTGTTATTGTTGGAAAAATAAACTTCAGCAATACCAGATTTTCATGTCTTGTGCTCCGACTGCAATACAAGCTAAATATTTTGGCACGTTTATGATTTAACAATTGTTAATACTGACATTTATTTGGCATAAAACAACACAAAATGTTATCTGCACATAGCTGTCCCAATTTTGAGCTAACTACAAGAAAGGCAGCTAGTCAACAGCAATCATCACAAATTGCACCGATAACCTGAAAGTGTAAAATTACAGCAACAAGATAGGAACCACAAACCTTTGGATTTACAATACAAGCACACTACCCACTAGGATGTGCCTGGTTCATTTAATTAGGAGTATAATTCACATTCAGAGGTATTACATAAAATCATTACAGACTGTCTTTTATGATTCAGTTTAAAATCATTAAAATATCTAAGTAAACAATTCCTTTTATACAGTTTTAAAATAGCTAAAACAACAATTCCATTACCTGAATTGCAACAAGCTGGGAGTAATACAATGGACAACAGCACACAACCTATCCAGACTATAATACAATGGACAATCTTCTAGTTCCTAAACAAAAATTTCACATTTAGAACAACACAAAATAAAAAAATAGCTTAAAACTTAGCATTTTCCTACATTTTTGGATCAGTAAAACATTATTGCCATTTTTTTCATCCATAACAAAAATTAAAAACACCTTGCATGATTTATACTTTCAAATTTCAGTTTCAGGCACACAGAAGAATATCTAGTTATTCTAGAAAACCACAAACATATTTTCAATCTCAGTGCAATTATGAAAAACTGGTAGATTCACAGTTTTCATACTTGCTAGTAAACAAAACATGTTACATTAATTTTATATGTGCATTAACAGTGATGAATACTTTTGTTTTGTTTTTTCAGTATGTCACTTTAATCCCTCCACCTACAGAAATTACATTAACTAAAAACTAAGTTTATCATTTTGATACATGCATTCTCAGAATAAATGAGTATTACTTAAAAATGATAATGAATGAGACTTGAAAACACAGAAACTGGATGTCTATATATAGTGCCCAAAAACATTTCTCATTAGTAAGCAATTATTAAGTTAGTTTTGAAACAAGAAACTTTTTTAAACTAATTACATTCTATTGTTTTTCATTATAAAGCTTTAACAATGTCTATTTATGTTCTCACAAACTTGTATATTCATTTTGAAAAAACAACAACATACATTTGAATTTAAGTTGCACCTCTTTTTAATATAGGAATAAAGTCAAAAGGCTTGAGATTTGTACTTTCTTTTCTAAAAACACTATTTAATTCTTTGTTTATAAGTGGACCTGAATAATTGAATGAAACCATACTATGAATAGTATAAAAAATCCAACCATTTAGAAGAAAGAAGAATAAGAACTAGTTTTATAATCCTCTCCTTATAAGGTATGCTGTAACGAATTTATTATTATGTATTTATTTTTAATATGAACATTGTTTGGATTGAATTTGTATTTAAAAATAGGCATGACTTGCATTATCAGATATGTGTTGCATATAACGAATTTGTTACATATTTATTTTAATGTCAGTGTTTGTTTCGAATAAGTTTACATTTGAGGGCATGTCTAGCTTACCGTGTTAGTTACGTATGGTGAAACTCCTATCAATTCTCCAAGATTGTAGAATATTCGTGAACACAAGAATCAACAATATATCTACCGGTATTATCAGAAGTTTCTAGAAAATGTGTCTCGCCTATAAAAACAGCAGGGCAACGTGCCAAAAAACAACAGAGAATATACAAGTCTGCTAGAAAACTGTTATAGCCGCATGTACGCGATAAGCTGTGATTTGCTAACCTTTA